GAATACATTACTATTTCCTCCAACTGCTGACTTAAGAGGAGATTTATTGGTTTTGTATATTATACTGATTTTAAACCAGATTTTTAATCCTTTTTAGAATTTATTTTTTCAAAATATACTTTATCTCCAACTAGCAACGTGGAAGGAGAAATTAGAGAGGTGAATATAGAGATCCAAACATTGTGTCAGATTTTATTAACGCAATTGGGAAAGGCATTCAATACGTTTTATTTTTCGTTGCTAATATTTGTTAGTATATCTCCTCAGCCCCTTTTGACTAATATTTTATCCAGATCTGTTATCAAAATCAGAACTTTTCGTTCAAAAATATTGTTTTTTTAAGAATCAATATTTTAGAGAAAGAGAGAGAGACATTACCCATCCAACACACTTCGAAAGGCATGAAAATGTTCTAATGTCTTTCTTCTGTTGGCTGATTAGTAGAGTAGATTAGCCTCTCTGAATGATATTTTATCCAGATTTCAATATCAAAATTTCAGAACTTTTTGTTTCAAAATATTTTTCAAAATTTGTAGTTGAAAAACATGTTCTGAGAGAGAGAAAAAAGAGAGAGAGAGAGAAAAGAGAGAGATTAACTTGCACTAACGCCCTTAAAAAATATCATGAATCCTAGAAACATTGACTGGCTGAATAGTAGAATTCATTCTCAAATGACTTGATTAAACCAGATCAGTTATCAAAATCGGATCTTTTCGTAGTAAAGATATTTAGCTTTTTGGATTGCACGTGAAGAGAGAAAGTCTTCTTCAAGGTAGAAAGAGAAAGAGAGAGATTAACTTGCGCAGTAACGCCCTCGGAAAAGTCTGAATAGATAACCTACCCCCTCCAGATGCTGGCTGAATAGTAGAATAGACCGTCCTCTCTGATTGATGCTTAAACCAGACAGTTGAGAGAGTCGGAATGAAAGAAAGAGGTGGTGGTGAGTTTAACTTACGCACTAATGTCCTCGGGAAAGGCATGAATACGTATCTTCTCGATCCAACTACTGTCTAAATAGTAGATCAGATCGGACTTTCTGACTGGCGCTTAAACCATATCGGTTAATCTTCAAAATCGGGATCGAGAGAACCAAATCTAAATAATTTGAATCTACGCATGTCTCGAGTGCCCGATCCTGCATCAATCTTCCTCTCCCCTCCAGCTGCTGCCTTGTCATCTCGACTCAGTCACTTTCTCTCAGACGTAATGTGATCTTCCTTCTGTCTTTTAATAAAATATTTTCATTACATCTGCTCCTGATGAGCTATCAGAGCTGGATGTGATGACTGCATGAATTTAAGGTGCTACTAGGTTGGCATTTTGGTCCCTGTCTTTCTTCACTGTTTTGAACGGTTAAATGTTTTAAACGCCTCTTCCACTTTTCAGCTTCTTCTTCGCACTTCCCAGACAGTGGAACTCCTTCTTTATGTATTCCCTTTAATTATCACTTTCAAAATTTAAATGTAATGCCAATCGACATCTTCTGTTGCCTTGGAACTATCCTTTATTTTTATCCTCCTCCCCTCAAATTTTATTCTTTCCACCCCCCCCCTACACCCAGTATTTTCTGTTACATTACCACGACTGTAGCCCCAGTTGCTCAAGGGTATTCAATCTAATCTTAAAAATTTTTGGGGGTTAAATAACCCTCAAAAAATAAAAAGTAGATTTAGACCGAATTGCTGATGCATAAACCAGGTAGCCCCTAAAATAATATAGGAAAGTTTTTGAGTTTTAGTCAAATAGAGAAAGAGAATGCATTAGTTTAAATTTGATCTGCCCTCAGTTTGACCTTCATTTGTATAAAATTTTTCTTTCTGTTTTTAAATACTAAAATTAAATCAATGCATGTAACATAAATTAACATAACCTTAACATAATCAAAACAAATTAGCATAAATTAACATAAATTCTCAAACTAGAATAATAAAAAACAATTACATTATAATAAGAAAGATTCAAGAACACCAATAACAACATTCAATCACTTTTGTTTATTAGACATTTAATTCCATCACTTAGGCCCTTCCATAATTTACCTTGATTTTCATTTAATCAGATGTATATTTATGAGTGTTCTTAATTTTCAAAAAAATCTTTTGAATTTTTTTAACTCATTTATTTTTTACAAATTGTTACATTTGCCTTGATAAAGTTCTTTTTCTTATTTATTGAGTATATATATATATATATATATATATATATATATATATATATATATATATATCCCACATAAAATCAACGTTGAAGTGAACACAAATAGTTTATTTTAATCAGGATAAAGCAATCGCCAGGCGGATATGAAGGATTGCGCCTAGCTTGAAAATTATTTTTATTTATTTTACATACGCTATATCTCTGATTCTTGAGCAATTTATCCCATCAATATAGCTCACCTTAAAACTATATTTCTTTCATATATATATATATATATATATATATTATATCCATCCAGGTGAATATGGAGAACGAATAGTATAAAATTCCAACGTTTGTAACATTTAATTTAAAAGAAGGTTAATACAAAGTAGAGCAATATTTTCATTTTAGGACATTACATCGAAAAAATCATGATCTTTTCGCTATATTATTGTAGTTTCCTGTTTCGATGCGTATCAAATCATCTCATCAGACGATTGTAAATTATTTGAAATATGAACGATTTATATTAGAATTATAAAGAAAAACAACCTCTTATTACGAAAAAAAGAAAAAGAGCTTTATTTTTGTTTTGTAGGCTTTAATTCAATTTATCGACCAATCAAATATGACCTCATGTTAAGTTTAAGTCTTAAACAAGAAGGAAAAATTCAAAATTATTTTTTATAAATGGGTCATGACACGTAGATTGGCAGCTAACGACAGCCAGGCATTAACCAGGAGCGTATGTTAATGGTTACATAAATTATACAAACTAAACAATTCCATTTTCTAAGAAATAAAAATGGGGTGGAGAGGTATATACACTTTGTGAGTTTCCTACATGATTTTTCTATAGTTGATAAATAAATAGTTTCCTTAAGTTTCTATTAATCTTTAAGAACCTAGTAAATAATTTAAACGTAGATAATTATTAGGTAAATTAATATGCAACAGTCGAATAAAGATCCTTCATATAATAACACTACCCAATCAATGTAAAATGACAAAAATACCAACTAAATGCCAATACATCCATACAAGATTTTACTAATACTACCAGGAGATTAATACAAAATTATATTAAACCATAATTAATATTACAAATAGAAAGATAACCCATATATGATACAACGCAGTGCAACTAAAATATAAGGAAAAGCAAAATCAAATTCCAAAGTTTAACTAAATTGTAAGCTAAGTGGTAAACTATGTTTACAATTTACATTAATTCATTCCACTTGTTTGAATCATTCCGTTTTAAAAATTCAAGATATATATGATATATATAGAATTACATATATATATTTATATTTATATATATATATCCTATATATATATATATATTTTATATAATATAAACTATATATATATAATATATATAATATATATATTATATATATATAATATATTATTATATCTATTTATCTGGCATATATATATATATATATAGGAGAGAGAGAAAAGTGATGACATAAACACATAATTTTGTAACAGTGGATTTAATTTTCTAATGAAAAAAGTTTACATGCTACAGATGTTATGAAACATTATGTAGATAAAACTGACATTGTATAGAGTTCCCCAAAGAATATATTTTTATAATATATATATATATATATATATAAATGAGTGTGTTGTGTGTGTGTGTGTGTGTGTGTATGTATATTTGTATATGTCAGGTGTATATTGCCTATATACATTTGTTCCACAATTTTGGGTAAATCTATATAAATTTAATATGTCTAGCTATTTTAGGCTCTTATATTTTTTTAGAATGAAATGAAGCTAGGAATACATTTGCCAAACATACCAAATTAAAATTTTTTCCACCTTTTTTTCCTAATCTAATTTTGGAATTGAATAAAAAAACCATATTTTTAAACACAAAACCAGCATTTAATACACACATGAGTACACACACATTCACAAAACACATTACATATATATATTGATATATATATATATTAATATACATTTTTTATACGAAAAATTTTTATAGAAAAATATTTTGGTAAAAATATCTTATTTAGAATTTATAAATTAATCTATTTGTGTTTTTTGTCCGAGATTTCAAAAATGTGTCCTCATTTTTAATTTTAACCTTATCAATACAGAACCGTCATATAGCCTGAATGTGCCATACCATTTAGCGAATTGAAATGAAGTGTCAATATAAGGTTAAATTACTGTTTTTAAATACAAACTTCCCATGATTTCTTGAAAAATTTTATATCTGCTTTTATTTTTCTAAACATGTAAACAAATTACATTATATATTATTAACTGGACTAACTCCAAGAATTCGAACTTTTAATAAATTTTTTTTAAAATTTTATTTGTATAGATACAAATACTTAAGTAAAGGCTTCTTTTGTTTAAAAAAGTCAATTTTAACAAAAAGGCTTTTCAATTTCTTTTCAATCAAAGAGCATTTATAAAATATTTGCATCTATAAAATAATGTATTAAAAAAAAATTAAAAAATTAATATTTGACTTATTACATACAAATTATACACATATCCAACGCAAAAATATATTTGTTGGTTGAAATAGATCATATTCGAATGATAAATTTGGAAAACGTGATGTAATTTAAAAATGTTTTCTGAAACTGTATTTGTGGATCAATTTCAATATTTTATAATATTATTAGGATTCATATATATTATATACAAATATATATATATAAATATATATGTAGAAATTTTGAAAAACAAACAAAAAAACCATAAATGTAGTTAAAATGAAAGAATTGTCGACGTCAGACGTTTCGGTTTTAATAAACCATTTTCAAGACAAAATTCATTAAAATACAAATTCAGTTCAATATGACGAAAACGATGGACATAAAAACAAG